TCTTGAGTATTGAGCGAAGACAACTGTTAATGAAGGTCTGTAGTTTGTTTGAGATGCTCTTTATGACGCGCAGTGCAAGTCTCTGATCCGTATAGTAGCACTGACTTCACATTGGAGTTAAAAATCCGGATCTTATTTTTGATGCTGACTGCTCTCAGACAAAACGCTTTGTCTCTCCATTAACTGAATAAACAATGTATGACCTTTCTGTCACATGACATTACAACCAATCAGAATTCAGTGAGGGTAAGAAAAACTTGAATCACTCTTATTGCTTCATGTATATTAGTCATTTCCACACATGCTCTTGCATTGCACACTTTTTCACTCTTTCGTACTTGGGTACTTTTCCGCTCACACTCTTTTGTGACAGGTTAAATTTCCTTGTTGGGAAATACACATATCTTCGTGAACGTGCTGATTTGTCTTCTTCGCGTCAGGACAATTAACTACTCAGCAATACCAGTCTGTACGTTATCGTCCGTTATTTCACATTAGCGAATATTTACACTCGGTCACTATAATATCGGCAACGACCCCATAACTTATTAACGACGAGTACATAACATTTATTGGCAACGGGGATGGGATGATATACACGAAAGAAAGATACCTCAAACGTGACTAAGTTTACAGCTCTGAATTACTACTATTATTAATAGCAAAAACAACAACATTGCTACTATTACTACTACTAATAATAATGTTAGTAGCAAAAAACACTTTAGTGGGATTGTGATGTGTTCAGTGTTGTTAACTGATAAAGGTTAAGTTGTTGGCCGTACATTTCCACATATGTCGCCACCATACTTGGTGTTTTATTGAACAAACGCTCAGCGAGCGCCTCATAATCGAGGCCCAGTTCAAGGACGTAGTATGAAAGCATTTGAATATCCACCGGGCTCCAATTAGGATCTATTGGCACTTCAGGAGGTTTGAAAGCTGAAATACCGTCAAGTACTTTCTTCTCCTTTTCAACAAGTTCTTTAATTTGCTCCTCCAATGGATTGGGTAAATCAAGTAATGCAGCATTCAATTCGTTCATCTCTTTAGTGCACTCTTCTGGGGTAGAATTACACATACGCAGGAATTCCTTATGTGAATAATAAACTCCAGGAGGTAATCTCGTTCTTGAATCATAAGGCGCCCTTCTAGACAGAATTCCTCTGCGAGAACTACGTTTAATGGGACCTACAAAATCATATCTTCTTTCATCCTTCTTTGCTCCATTTGATTGAATACTACAAGAAGCTGTTGCAGCAGCCACCGCGGTAGCAGCTATTTCCTCTTCGAAGCGTGCATTTCTACGTACAGACAGACGATTGGATGCATTTGAATCACAAGTAGGTAAATTTAGAGAAGATTGAGATAATACAGGAGTTGTATTGGCTGAACCCCGACCTTTACCACAGCGTCTCTGACGATTACGACTAGGATTTACAGGATCTTTTCTTGAATTATTTTGCATATCACCACCTTGTTGGTGTTGTTGTTGATCTACATTCTCCAAATTGGCTAATAAATCTGGTGTATGTACTTGTGCCTCGGAGTCTGACTCAGTACTTAAGGCACTGTTTTCTGTATCACGATCTGACTCATCAGACTCTACGTACAGACAGGCGATTCACTTGATGCTGAAATAAAGCGACATCTGCATATGATGGTACATGGACTAGTTGAAGAGTCTGATGAGTCAGATCGTGATACAGAAAACAGTGCCTTAAGTACTGTGTCAGACTCCGAGGCACAAGTACATACACCAGATTTATTAGCCAATTTGGAGAATGTAGATCAACAACAACACCAACAAGGTGGTGATATGCAAAATAATTCAAGAAAAGATCCTGTAAATCCTAGTCGTAATCGTCAGAGACGCTGTGGTAAAGGTCGGGGTTCAGCCAATACAACTCCTGTATTATCTCAATCTTCTCTAAATTTACCTACTTGTGATTCAAATGCATCCAATCGTCTGTCTGTACGTAGAAATGCACGCTTCGAAGAGGAAATAGCTGCTACCGCGGTGGCTGCTGCAACAGCTTCTTGTAGTATTCAATCAAATGGAGCAAAGAAGGATGAAAGAAGATATGATTTTGTAGGTCCCATTAAACGTAGTTCTCGCAGAGGAATTCTGTCTAGAAGGGCGCCTTATGATTCAAGAACGAGATTACCTCCTGGAGTTTATTATTCACATAAGGAATTCCTGCGTATGTGTAATTCTACCCCAGAAGAGTGCACTAAAGAGATGAACGAATTGAATGCTGCATTACTTGATTTACCCAATCCATTGGAGGAGCAAATTAAAGAACTTGTTGAAAAGGAGAAGAAAGTACTTGACGGTATTTCAGCTTTCAAACCTCCTGAAGTGCCAATAGATCCTAATTGGAGCCCGGTGGATATTCAAATGCTTTCATACTACGTCCTTGAACTGGGCCTCGATTATGAGGCGCTCGCTGAGCGTTTGTTCAATAAAACACCAAGTATGGTGGCGACATATGTGGAAATGTACGGCCAACAACTTAACCTTTATCAGTTAACAACACTGAACACATCACAATCCCACTAAAGTGTTTTTTGCTACTAACATTATTATTAGTAGTAGTAATAGTAGCAATGTTGTTGTTTTTGCTATTAATAATAGTAGTAATTCAGAGCTGTAAACTTAGTCACGTTTGAGGTATCTTTCTTTCGTGTATATCATCCCATCCCCGTTGCCAATAAATGTTATGTACTCGTCGTTAATAAGTTATGGGGTCGTTGCCGATATTATAGTGACCGAGTGTAAATATTCGCTAATGTGAAATAACGGACGATAACGTACAGACTGGTATTGCTGAGTAGTTAATTGTCCTGACGCGAAGAAGACAAATCAGCACGTTCACGAAGATATGTGTATTTCCCAACAAGGAAATTTAACCTGTCACAAAAGAGTGTGAGCGGAAAAGTACCCAAGTACGAAAGAGTGAAAAAGTGTGCAATGCAAGAGCATGTGTGGAAATGACTAATATACATGAAGCAATAAGAGAGATTCAAGTTTTTCGTACGCTCATTGAATTCTGATTGGTTGTAATATCATGTGACAGAAAGGTCATACATTGTTTATTCGGTTAATGGAGAGACAAAGCGTTTTGTCTGAGAGCACTCAGCATCAAAAATAAGATCCGGATTTTTAACTCCAATGTGAAGTCAGTGCTACTATACTGATCAGAGACTTGCACTGCGCGTCATAAAGAGCATCTCAAACAAACTACAGACCTTCATTAACAGTTGTCTTCGCTCAATACTCAAGATCAGATGGCCAGAAAAGATCAGCAACAGGGATCTTTGGGAGCGAACCAACCAGGAACCGATTGTGAAACAAATAGGCAGGAAGAAATGGAGGTGGATTGGCCATACTCTTAGAATACAATCAAGTGACATCACTAGACAAGCCCTTGAGTGGAACCCGAAAGGGAAGCGGCGAGTTGGTCGTCAGTGCAAGGGTGACTTGGAGGAGGTCATGTGAAGAGGAGATGAAAGTGTGTGGGCAGACTTGGAGCCAGGTGAAGACTCTAGCAGAGAAGAGAACGCAATGGAGACCCACGGCTGAAGCCCTATGTTCCTGTAGGAATTAAAGGATAATAATAATAATGCATTTTGTGAGTTATAATGGAATATCGATCAATAAACATATACAGCAAGGTATATCAGACTGTCAAATCAAATGCAGACATCATGTGACTACATATCATTATCGTTTTATGAATGGGGAGGAATTTGAATCTACAAAAGCTGTGTTCTTTATCACCCAAATATGAATTCTAAAAGGATGATTTATTCTCGTAACTTTATTAATCATTTACGACCGAATGACTTTCATATTCCCACGAAATCAAGGGGGAAGCATCGTAGTGGTTGGAAGCGAGCTCTTCAACGTACACCAATACACTTAACTACGGTCCCTGTCATAATGAACACTAACTGTCGTTCTCTGCCAAACAAGATAATATACCTACAATCCTTGATGTCCACTGACACCTATCACAATACTGCGATAATCACATTACAAGAAACATGGTTACATGAACTGTATGATGGCAATCTCATCTCACTAAAAGACTTCATCCCATTTAGACAAAACCGACAATGTTGTAATAAGAAAAATGGGGGCCGCGTTGCCACTTTTATCCACTCCAAATGGTCTATCTCTAATAATGTTTGCTTCTCATTCTCAAATGACTTCATAGACTGTATCACCGTCAAATGTTGTCCCAAACATCTCCCCAAATATAAACATATCTTTATTACAAGCATGTACATTTCTCCAAGTTGCTCACTATCTAATCTTTCAAATTTTGCTGATGAATTCACCATGTTTGCCGCTGCCAACTTCGATAACTCTCTATCTGTTATTACTGGGGACTTGAACTCGTCAGATTGCTCCTTCCTTGAAGCACTTGGTCACTCAAACATTGTCAAATTTCCCACTCGACTTGACAAAACACTTGATTTAGTTTTTACAAATGACGAAGGAATATATGAAACACGTAAACATGCACCGATCCTCAACTCTGATCACTCTATTGTTCGTGTTCTACCAAAAATATACAGCAAAACACATAATATAGTCTTCTCACATCTGTCTATGAAAGCACAACAAAGATGCTACTCATCCGATAACTTACTCAATCTACGGTGCATGTTAAAAAATACTAACTGGGATTTATCCCATGAAAGTTCATTAGATGACACAATTGTCAATATAACGGATTATCTTAAGTTCTGCCTTGATATATGCTGTCCGAAACAAACACTATTCAAACGCCTCAACCGCTTCTTATCTCCTTATCTCAAAAAACTTCGCAGGCAAAAAGAAACTTTGTACAAATCCAAAGACAAGTTAGGACTCAAAAAGATTAATGCTCAAATCAAATCTGAAATCAAAAATCTTAATGCTATCTATAATGATACACTTTTATCATGCAAATCTCCTATCAGCATGTGGAAACTTTTCAATGAAATTACTGGCAACAGTAAGCGTTGTAATGCTTTTCACTCTTATGATGTTAATGCTCCTAATCAGTCTTTATCCTAAAGTACAGCAGCAAAGAAAACGATGAGAAAGTGAAGTATCCAACAGTTGAAAAGAAGAAAGTGTTTATTTGCCTCCCATACAAAGGAGAAACAGTATGGCAAAAGATTGAAAAGCGAATGAAAGGAGCAATAAAGAGATGTTTCCCTGAAGCCAAGCCGGTGACACTATATACAGCACTACATGCTCTATAAGCCAATCGAAACTGGATAAGTACCCTGCTGATGTTACCTCCAACTGCATTTATAAATTTACGTGCATGTGCGGCAGCAAGTACATTGGAAGGACAGAAAGAAAGGCCTATATCCGGTTTTCAGAGCATATTCCGAGAAACTTATGCTTAATAGGAAGCAGATACTCACAAAGTGCAATTACCAGACACTTTGTGGATACCAGCCATTTTATCGACATTTCCAAATCTTTGAAAATATTAAGCATACAAAGGACAGTGAATATACTACGACTTGCTGAAGCTATTGCAATCCAACGTCTCAGACCAAACTTATGCACTTTCATTACGCTGGTTAGTCATACACACTAGTGAGCTCAGCTCACTAAGCAAGCTTTCAAATTGATGAACTTTGACCTTCTTGAGTTGCCATGTTGACGTACAAGCTAACACTGTCTACTAGATTTTTCTGTTTTCTCTCACCCCCTTCCTTTTTTTCAAAGTTTGATAGTATATAAACTTAAACTATAAATTGTAATACTTATATTCCGGATACGTTCATTTTATAATATCTTCTCTACTACTTTTCAAACATTGAAGTATGAAATCCTATTATTTATAACTATTGTAATTTCAGGCAGTTTGCAGCTGACAAGAACCTGTGAAATAGAATGATATCATCTTATACCTGCAAATCTGGTCTTTCTTTCTCTATCGAAATTTATCAAGGGAACCAAATGTATGAAATAATAGTTGTATCTATGTGAACTTATGTATATAAATGCGACTGTACTGCTGTGCTTTGGGAATGAAATTGCCGAAAAAACCAACATCTTTACTGACCTTCTTATCCTTTTCTCACTAATATATCCACAGATGGGTATTTTTTTAAACGATTTGAAAATTTAACAAGATAAAAAGAAAAAAAGATGAAAAATACCTACTTGTTTGGAAGACTGTGAACTTTTTTGTGAACCACCCTCCTGTGAGTCTGGTGCAGCAATAGCAAGCTCTTGAACTTTATCTCTTAACTTTTGAGCAGATGCACCTGTAATACGATCGATTGGTAAAGTGCCACGTAAAAATACAAATGTAGACAATGATCGAACATTGTACTGTTGTGCAGCATCCTAAGAAATAATTACAAAATGAAGTCATAGAGGTATAATGGAGAAGATTTGTAGTTCAGGTGAGATGATTCTGGTGCAGTTGTATTCAGTGAGCTGGATAGCTTAGTTGAGAAGTGCTGCTGACGACGTTGCGTTGCCCAAAGTAAGGCAATGAATGCTTCATATCTAAACCAGTCAGCTCAGAGAACACGACTACACCGAAATAAAATAAAGTAGAACACAACATTTAAATATACCACACTTCCGAAGTGTTGACAACCAGTGGTGTCCGTCAGGAATGCCCAATGTCTCCATTTCTGTTTAATTTCATCATTGATGCACTAAGGGACTTAACCCTAACTGACTTCAATGACTTGGAGATCGAATTGTTACCAGGAAACCATTTTTATTATCTCTCTTCTGATGAATCTATCTTTACTCTCTTCTCTTGCTCAGTGCGCTACATGGAGGGAGTGTGGCGACTTGAACTGGTCGAACCAGTCGGTTAGTCAGTCAGTACTGTAAGAAAACTAACAGGAGTACACGGCAATAGGCTGTTATAAGTTTTTATTCTAAAAAATACGATATTATCACCATTTTAACATATAATTAGTTTCTCAATACTCATCTTTACTATTCTTCAGACTTAAGCCTTATAAAATACTTCCTCAAAGGTAAGTGAAGTAGCCTCTACGACAGAAGTACTATTTGATATCTTAATGTGTCAGTGAACATTTTCACAGAAATGAAAACGAAGAGTATTGAACTGATTGAGTCTTAACCATAGAACTTTACACCGTATCAAATTCCGCCTCCAGGTGAAGAAATACGCCAATTGTTAGTCGCTGGTATGTTTGCATTTCCTAATCTGTCGAAAGATGAATATATATGATCAATACATCCTCTTCCTGCCTGGTTTTCTCGCGTTTGTTTCCCTTGAGCATCACTTAATCTACATGTGAAACCACATGTTCTAGCCACCATGATCAATGAAGCTTCACAACCACCACATCGACTGGACTTTCCTTCCTTAATTAACAATCTACTTCTAACGTTAATAACGCCCAACATATTATATTACTTAACACGAAAAAACCGAACACAAACACTTATGGTCAAAGAAAGTCAGTTACTAAAAGTTTTAGACTTTCACCGACCATATCTCACAGTCAGTATTCGTAGAAACATCAACCAAACCAAGAGAATTAAAAACTTGGATTTGTACAAAGTGAAAAAACGTCAGCTGGCATTGTGACCTGTCAGTGAAACTCTTGCACTCAAGGATTTCCATTGTAAATAACTATTGACACTGACCTAACCTAAGCCTCCAAAGCCTCAGGATGGTCGGGGGTGGGTGCCTTGCGATGCGGGTTGGCCAACCCTCCGCACACCTCTGGAAATGCTCCCATATGACCGGGCGTCTTACATAGCCTCTCCTGAGGAAGTCCTACTCACTGCCTTCACGTGGCGGAGGTGTTTTTCACCAAAGTGAGAGGGCGAAAGCGGATGCCTGGAGCTCTTCACCGGGTTGACTGTCCATTAGATGACAGTCTAGGGGAGATGGATAAACCCTGATTCCAAACCTCCAACGACTGGCGTATGAAGCTCACTGGAGCTCACCGGCAGACGTACGGACAAAGGGCTTGTTGGATGTCTGGCCCCATTCAAAAAGGCGTATGAACCGAACTCCGGTCACCGGCTGCCAATGGATAGTGGACTCCCTACTCCACTCCTACTGCCTTGTAGGTCACACTTGGTTGTGTAAAGGCTAGAGCTGCACTCTCAAACGAAAGGCCGAGCGATTCTGGGGACACCACTCGTACCAAATTCCCATGAAACTTCATGAACTCTCTAGTGCGTCCTCGTTGCTACAACATCAACCAAATTCCAGTACTGGTCCAACAACGTCGCCTTCGGTGGTTTGGTCATGTTCTGCGCCAACCAGATGACGATCTGGTCAAATCACCTTTGAATCCCTCGCCATTACCATCTTGGCGATGTCACAGGGGTGGACAGCTGAAAACAGGGCTTGGTACAGTCAAGGCTGATATGGAGTGCCTGGGGCTACAAACCGTCTACGGACTCCGTCTGTGGAAGAAGAATTGGATAACCCTGTCGCAAAACCTTGCATCAGATCACCGCGCCTGGGCAGCGATGATTCGAGATGTTCATGAAGCCGGCTCATCCTCCCGTAGGAGATAGCCGAAGTAAAGTAAACTCTCTGAACTAATACCAAGTGGTACCAACTCAGGTTGCCTAATAGTGATTGTTTCAAAGAAGTCAATTAATAAACACTGAACATTTACCTCAAGTTTATCAACATCAATTTTGAGGAATTTCATTTTCGTGTACCTAGTACTTAATTTTTTAAAGATGGGTGCTATTTCAGAACAAGGATGGCACCATGTAGCATAGAAATCTATAACTACAATAGCTGGACCATTGGCAACATTTGCTGCCTCTTGTAAAATTTGTTCAAGTTGTTCTTTATCAGCAACGTTGATCACAGTAGCCATTGGGATAAGTAGGTCTGTGAAATATAAAAATCAAAGTTAAGTATGCAAAGATACTTGTGAAAAGCAAACATATTTTAACACCAGTTAACGACAATCATATAAAAAATATTGAAAAATCTTTACAAAGCGCTGAAGAGGAGCTACTTATTTGTCCGATGAGTTAAACAGTACGATAAGTCTGTAACAGCAGGGATGAAAGAACAGTTGCACAGCATCTAATACAGAAATAACTAATGTGATTCCATATTAATTTGTTTATTAGATGTATCGCACAGTGAAACAGTATTATTTACTGGATGACATTTCGAACAAAATTTATTGTTCATAATCATATCAATTGTAATCACACGACTTTGATACTTTAGTTTTATAGTTTTCTTTGTTCTCTCCTATTTGTCGTAGGGGTAGATATCTGGAAAATTTTACTACCCTTAGGACAAATAGGAGAGAACAAAGAAAACTATAAAACTAAAGTATCAAAGTCGTGTGATTACATTTGATATGATTATGAGCAATAAATTTTGTTCGAAACGTCATCCAGTAAATAATACTGTTTCACTGTGCAATACATCTAATAAACAAACTAATATGGAATTATTTGGCACCACAGTTCCCAAGTTTTACACATATGATAACTAATGTGAGTTGAAGATCAATGGTTCTCTTTTAGCCCTATCAAGACCACATTTCTTCACATAAAAGTGTACCAGAGCTTATGAACATTGTAAAAATTCAGCTCACCAAAAATAAACTAGCACTATATATAACAAACCATACTTGATGACCTGCGACAGAAAGCGGATTTGAAAAGACGGCTTCATTTATCTGTATTTTAACTCGAATCGATAGCACACTATGAAAAACTTCAGGAATGTGGTGTCATTCGACAGAAATGTTGATGTCTGACAAACAGACTAATTCTCGTTCAAGATTAACAATGAAGATTACTTATGAACTCTTCTGCACCGACCGACCTGCTTCATTAGACGAATTACTCAGAGTATATTCGAAAGATTAACGAAGAGTGGTTAACATATTCTTATAAGTAAGTTGTGACAAACGATCAAAACTTCTGTATGCAGACGAAAGAGTAAAACTTCGTATATAAAATTTGACATAGATTTAAGTAATAGGCATCTAATTTCAACGAGCTCCACCTAAAATTAACTAGCTGCTATTTTATCGTTTTTGAAGGCACGTTATAAAGAGTTCTAGGCTTAAAATTCATCTGGCTTTACAGTGATTGGAATTCCATCATAACTGACGAGTTCATTTGAAATAGTAGCCTAACAGGTATACCGAGAAATTCATCCACAGTAACCTATGGTGCCGCATATATGTAATTTTCTCCTTATAACTATTTTGAAATGTATTCATTGATATTTTGTCATTTTGTTAACTGACGTCGTTTACTGATTACTTATAAAAATAAAATCTTACAAGGAATGGGCAATGTATTCAATACCAGTAGCTTTAATTGAAACAATTGAAACAAAGAGCTAGATTATAGACATTTATAAAATTATATTTGTAAAATCTCAGAGGAATTGAAATGATTAATTCCAACGTTTCTTTCGGCAATCTGGTCCGAACTTCTTCAGGGAATGTCTACTTCTCACTCAGCGCTCAATTATTTTGCAACCGTCCGGTCAAATCTTGATCACAGTTCATATGAGCTAGATTATAATTGACTGCTTGATTTCATCTCAACTTTTGTACACCATTTAGCGGTAAATAAATAAGTTTAAACTCATCTCACTCCCTTTCCTTTGTCGATTAGATAAACTGCCTAAGTCAGTGTGGCCAACAACAGTAATTTTACACAATTTTCAAGTGTATAATACGTAGCACCTTTTCACGATTAAATTTTGTCTGCACCTTAAACTAAATTATAACTATATTTCAGTAAATTTTTGTTTTTTTTTTGTTTTCGGTAATATTCCGAGCACCTCAAATTGTTATAGCGACCATCACCCACTTATTAATATGGCTAAACTGTCATTCTATGTATATCATACTAAAAGCAAACACTAATATGATTTCAAAGAGAACTACCTAGTACGTAACAAGCTTTATACAAATACTTGGCATAACAAGGAACCAACGATCTCAAATAAAATTATCAGAGCAGATTGTGGTTTTACTCATTGCTGAGTCTTGTAAGGATGTCACTTATTAGAAGGACAATCAAGAAAACTCAGTGAAACTACTTGGCTTAAAGCACACGGTGTTACGTGTCTGTTCACCTGAGTTCAAACGGTAGTCTACCAGATTTTAAAAGACATTAGTTACTAACTTAAACTGTAAGTCGACAAAACTTCCAAACGAAAGCAATAACTACAACAACTACAGTAATGGATAGATTCACAAATAATTTTGTTTAGTATGACAAAACTATACACATTTGAACAATTTTTTCACAATCATTTCGCTAAGCACAAGCATCTTTTTAGTGTATTTACTATTCAGATATTCTAACTGGTTTTAATGCATCATTATGACTAACACCAGTTGGGAATGTCACTCATTATGTTTTGTGGGATATGCAGATTCTGTAGTACTGTGAATCAACGAAATCAAAACGACTGGATCGAAGACGGCTTCGCTCAAATAGACACGTTTTAGCAGATAAAACAAACTACCTATTCATTGGAACACACGTTGAAAACAAATTCCTACAGGTACTTGAACACATATGAGTTTTTTGGGCCATTTCAGCTTTGTCTTTTATGGGGAGAATTAAAATTTCAATATAAGAACTAATTTCAAATCATGTGGAATTAGGGTGGGTGACCACTCAGTAGGACGACGAATAGTAACATATGCCCCAGCCATATTTGGTGGAATTCTCGAAATAATAAAGACGCTTGCGAAAGTCTACCCCTGACTACTTGAAAAGACTAGTGGCTCAAAAGGTAGCCAACAACATTAGAACACTAAAAAAGGTGATTGTATTTGGTCTTGCCGACATAGGCAAATACGTCGGATTAAGTGTGTTTTGACCTTAGGATTTTTATAATGCCGAATACTAGATAGCTTGGAAAGACGTCAAATACCATGAAAACATAATACCATGTGAAGAAATCCAAACCACCCACCAGACGTCAGAATTTGAATAATTGCCGATATCCAATATTCAATTTGTAAGTCAACCAATGTATGCTTATTTACCTATATTCCCATACCTGTAGTAAGTCTTAATCCAGTCTTGTGAAAATCATGTGATGGTTTTTCTACGGCTGATTGTGATTCCTTTAGCACGTGACATGGCTTAAGTTATAACTCCATAATAGATAAGATTTTATTCTGATAAATCATTTGAAGTCGACTTCACATGATTATGAGCGATAGTTTGTGCTCGAAATGTAGTCAGTTAGTATTACCGTATAACACTGTGAGTTATCAAAATAAAATCTTATCTATAATAGAGTTATACTCTACCACCGTGCCCAAGTTTATACTTATATCAGTGGCTTAAGGTA